GTCTGAGAAGCAGCCGTGGGGGAGGGGCAGGCAAGGAGCGAGCTGTTCTGGGCCTGGCTGCTCAGGGCCTGGCCTCTGTTGCTCTGGTTCATTCCACAACCAGCTGCTCCGAGTCTGGTCACTGCCGCTCCCCACCTAGTTGCTCTGGACTTGGCTGCTGCTGCTCCGGGCCTGGCAGCTCCCAGCCTGGCAGCCGCTGCTCCGGGCCTGACCGCACCCGACCCGCCTGCTCCCCCGGGCCTGGCCGCTCCCAGCCTGGCAGCCACTGCTCCGGGCCTGGCCGCACCCGACCCGCCTGCTCCCCCGGGCCTGGCCGCTCCCAGCCTGGCAGCCGCTGCTCCGGGCCTGGCCGCACCAGCCCCGCCTGCTCCCCCGGGCCTGGCCGCTCCCAGCCTGGCAGCCGCTGCTCCGGGCCTGGCCGCACCCGACCCGCCTGCTCCCCCGGGCCTGGCCGCTCCCAGCCTGGCAGCCGCTGCTCCGGGCCTGGCCGCACCCGACCCGCCTGCTCCCCCGGGCCTGGCCGCTCCCAGCCTGGCAGCCGCTGCTCCGGGCCTGGCCGCACCCGACCCGCCTGCTCCCCTGGGCCTGGCCTCTCCCAGCCTGGCAGCCGCTGCTCCGGGCCTGGCCGCACCCGACCCGCCTGCTCCCCCAGGCCTGGCCGCTCCCAGCCTGGTAGCCGCTGCTCCGGGCCTGGCCACACCTGACCCAGCTGATCTGGGCCCGGCCGCTCCGAGCCTGGCCACTCCCGACCTGGATGCTCTGGGCTTGGCTACTGCTGTTCTGGGTCTGGCTGCTCCCACCCCGGCTGCTCTGGGCCCGGCTTCTCCGGGCCCGGCCACTCCGGGTCTGGGTGTTCCTGGACTGGCCACCCTGGGCTTGGCCGCCTCCGCCTCATGCCTGGCTGCCACTGCCCCAGGTCTGGCTACTCCAGTGCTGGCTGTTGATGCTCTGGTTCTGGCTGCTGTTGTTCTGGAGCCTGGCCGTTGCTGCTCCGGGTCTGGCTGCCACTGCCTTGTGCCTGGCCACTCTAGGCCTGGCTGCCGCTGTTCCAACATTCTGTCCGTTTTTTTTTCTTTTTTCTTTTTAAAACGCATTTATGTTGCAATGTTGGCTGGTGAGTTGAGTTCTGACTTAGTCTTTGATTTTTCAAGATCTTCTTTGTATTCTTTCTTAAGTAATTTTACTATTTTTTGCTCTCACTTGATTTCTTCACATTGAGAACTTCTTTGGTTTCTTCCTCCTTGTCCTGGGAGCTCAGCAGGTTGGCCTGTGGCACCCCTTTGTTCTCCGCGGGCTCCTGCGCTGCTTCAGCCTGTTGCCGGGATGGCGCAGCCCAGGAAGCAGCCCCCGGCCTTGGCTCCATTGCCCGAGCTCAGTGGTCAAAGGCTCAGGGGCACCCACGCCCCCAGGGGCCCCGTGGCCCGCCTCCTTGCTGGTGCCCGGTTGGCTGGAGTCCGGCAGGGGCTTCTGCTCCCCTCCGCGTTCCCCCAGCCTAGAGCTTTTTTTTTCTCCTTCCTGCTAGAGAAGTCCATCATCAGAGTCAACAGACTGTCCTCTGCGCGCAGTTTGCGCGAGTCCCACAGACTGTCCTCTGTGCGCTGTTTGCGCGAATCCCGGGGGCCCGGCCTTTCTCTGCTCTCCCCGGACTCCACCTCACAGCCCCGTCTCCCTCTGCCTGAGCCTGGGTCCCCAGGGATTGGCCCAGAACTGGGGTTCGGAGCAGTCCGGACTGAGGCTCAGCGCCGCCGGAGGCCTTGTTTCTTCCGGCTAGGGTAACCCAGCATCAGAGTCAACATTCAGTCCTCTGCTCGCATTGCGCGCGACTCCCGGGGCCCTGCCTTTCGCCGTTTTTCCGCCTCACGGCCCTGTCTCCTCCCGCCGGAGCCTGGGTCCCCAGGGTCTGGCCCATAACTGGGGCTCAGCGCTGCCGGTTCGGGGGTTCAGCCCAGGCTGGGGGTTTTATTTCCTTCCTGCTAGGGAAGGAAAGGCGGCTCCCCGCCCTCTCCTCCTCTCCGGCTGCGACCTCTCCGTGCGCGCTTGCGGGCGGGCGCGCAGCATGTCTCCGTACCTTAGGCTTTTTTTCAGCTCCTCTGATTTTCCTTCTGGTTTTCTCTTTCCTTCTTGTTGTAGAAATTTCAGTCAGTCGACTACCTGTAGCTCTGGGCAATGTCCACTCTACATTTTAGTTGTATTCCAGTGAAATTGTTGTGTGCTGCCGCGGCTAGATGTCTACCCGAGCAGCCATCTTGGATCCTCTCCATTGGTGATTCTATTCGGATGCATTCTGCTTTCGCTTCACAGCGGTCCTGATGATTAAATCAATCATTTCTGAAATGCACGTAATACAGTCACTTGAAAAAAAAGTTAATGGAACTCGAACAAATGTATAGCAGTCAGCAATGCTAGGTCATCTTGGATTCTTCCTATAAACTTTGGGTTTATACACGAGCCAGATTAAATGGAAAGGAGATTCCCTTTTAACATATAGGATTCTCCAGTATCCTATATATTAAAGAGCTAACGTGCTAAAGGCCGTCACGCTGTAACGACCCATCAGCAGGAGGCTGCGTGCGCAGCGAGGCCGCGAGGGTGGCCCCGATCCTCACAGCCCTGGGAGGCGAGGGGCCTCCTCGGGCGATTTCAGTCCTGCCCTGGGCCCCTCGTATAAAATAATTAATCAGTAAATACAGAAACCAGCAGCAGAGCTGGAGTGGCACCGGGTATCTTCTGTGGCTTCCAAACCTCTTTGACCACAACGCACAGTAAGGAATATATTTAATGTCAAAGCCCACTCACACACAGACATCTTCCCCTGTGGATACACAAGGAACAAATCTCACAGAACCGTGTCTGCGCTCAGTGCCGGTCATGCACTCACTTCCTTTCCTAGGCCCTTATTTCTTAAAAAAAAACAAAAACTAGTCAGGACTAGACTGATCGAGTGCATGGTCGTCACAGGCAGGTTGGAAAATGCTAGTCTTTTCCCTGCACGGATGGAAAAACTGGAAAGACTTACCAGCGTCACTAAGCCATTCCTGGGTTCTTCTCTGTGACATATGATTTGATGTGAGCATTTAAGGTTTATCCCTCTTGTGGACACATTTTGTATCAATCCCTTTGAAAGAAAACGGAGAAAGTTAGGTTAAAAAAAATATATATATATATATATATATATATATATATATATATATATAATCTGATGGTTCTACTTTCTTATGAGGATTTTAAATACCAGATCAAGTCTCAGTTCTTCATGAAGTTGGTAGTTTCTCACCATTTTCACTCATTTTTGGGAGTGTGTTTTGCGTGGTGGCCGTTTAGCGTTGGTTTTTCCTCTTCCAGCCTGTTGCTGGCTCGCACCTCCTGCTCAGGCCTGCCCGTCCGCCACCCCCAATGCTGACCGAGGCTGGTGCCCTGGACTCACTCTCCCACCAAGCGTGTTGCCTCGGCAGTGCCGTGCAGTCCGCACAGGGACCTCTGGGCCTCAGTTTCCCCCTCTCTAATGTCATCCCCCGGGTCTGTCCAGGAGTACAGCGGCTACGTACGCCATTTCCTCGCTGCGTCTCAAGCGAGATTGCATCGAAGGGATCCCGTGCTTCCCTCCTTTCGGCTGGGTGAAGTGTGCAGTTCTTATCAAAAAGAGGCTTCTTCAGAATGGAATTCCAAAAATAAGAAACATCTGAATTAACTATAAAGACACCATTGTCCGCAGGGCAAGGAACTCCCGAAGTGTCTTGGGAAAGTTAAGATATCTCATTTCAGTGTATGTGCAAAATGGTGTTCTGCTCTTATTTTTTCAATAACGTACAGTGCCCGGTACCCACTAAAATGCAGCCATTGTGCCTTCCGTGAAGATCTGTTCTTTGCGTTCACTCCTGCCGTGAAGCGCTGTGCCCTTAGGCGCTGAGCTTACGGAGTCTGTGTCTCCCCAACAGAGCCTGGCCAAGCTGCAGGAGCGGTTCCACCTGGACCAGAGCATCGGCAGGTCGGAGCCCGACCTGAGGGCCAGTCCCGCCAGCTCTCACCTCTCCCTCTCCAGACAGACCCTGGACGCCGGGTCCCAGACCAGCATCTCCGGGGAGGTGAGCCGCGCCCGCCCACCGGGGTGCCGTCCGCAGGGCGGCAGTGCGTCCCCGGGGATGTCTGTTCTCCTGGGGCCTGTGACAGCACAGCAGTTGGAGGGCAGCGGAGGGCCTGCCTGCCTGAGAAATGAGTGTCTGACGTCGTTTACTTCACGTCGTGTGCAGCCGGGAGCTAAGGAAGGAAAACGTGGCTCCGGAGCTAGGGGAGGAAATTAGCTCCGGCCCATAAACTTTCCTGACCCGGGCGCCTTCACCGGCGCTCGGGCGCCAGAAGCACGTACCGGATACTTTTCATCTCCAGTTTGATGTGGGGAGGAACGACGTGAAGGTCTTTGAGAGACTGACACGTGTGAACTACAAGGGCAGCGCCTGCCCCACGGAGGCCGCAGAGCAGTGCCCAGTGTCGGTCCCGGCCCCTGGCGCTCCCAGGACTGGGCTTCCCAGAAGCAGAGCCAGGGACCTTCCTTCTTGAGCAGACTCATGGACTTCTCCCCTCTTGTTTTCCACCAGATCGGAGCGAGAAGCAGGTCGAATCTGGCCGAGAAGGTCAGGCTGAGTCTGCAGTACGAAGAAGCCAAAAGAAGGTGAGGCTGGGCGGGGTGCAGCCTGGTGGCCGGCGGCCGGCGCCGTCAGCGTGCGGCTCCCCAGCGGCGGCTCCCGGCTCACCGCCGCTCCTGCAGCGCCATCTGCTGGGCGTTCCCACACGCTCACTTCCTCGCTCGCTCGCTCCCTGTCTTAGAAGTCAGGCCTCGGAGCCCCTCTCTGCTCCCTGTTTCCCCTTCCCCTCCCTGGGAAGCCGAAGAACATGGAGGGTTCGTGAGAAATGTGGAGGCGAGGAGCTCCCCCTCTGGAAGCGAGGAGGCTTGAGCTCGCACCCTGACCGTTAGGAGCGGCTGGGTACTGGCTGGTAGTGGCGTGCGGGCCCAGGTAGACAGTGGCAGACAACGTCCAGCGTGCTCCTCCGTCTGGGGAGCACCTGCTCACGTCCTCGAAGGTCCGAGGGGACTGTCCAGGGCCAGTTCCCGGCCCGTCACACCCTGTCCTCCTCCCCGTGGCTGCGAGGGGAGCGGAGGGACTCGCCGTTCCTGCCCAGCGGGCAGACAGCTTGTGTCCGCCATACAGGGCACCTGGGTACTCTGAGGGCGAGAGCCGTACTGAAACGTTTGATGTGATTTTCCTTTAAGATTTTAACGATGCTACTGCTGTGCTGTTTAGGCAGACGGGGTGAGCTGCATGATCACCTGCTGGGCGCCCGGTCCGCGGCTGGGAGCCTGGGGGGCGGGGGGCAGAGGAGGTGTACGGCCGTGTAGGCACTGCCGATGGTGGTGGCATCGATAAGCATTACCGGAGTTCTTAGAGGCTGTCTGACGTTAGCGAAGTGATCACTTGATCCACCTACAGCCACTGTTTGCCTCTGCGCAGCCTCTGTTACCAACGCGACTCAGTTTCCCGGGAGCGTCCTTGGCTTTGCACCACGGATTACTAACCACGTGAGCTGGGCAGGTCACCTGGTCTCTCCCTACAACACTTTACCGGCCAGTTCTAACGCCTGTGGCTTTGTGCCGGGAGGCGGTCGCTCCCGAGGCCGGGGAGCCTGCTGCGGGCTTCACCGCCTGCTCCTCAGCGCCCGGTGGAGGCTCGGACGCTCTGGTTTCCGGGCCCTGGTCCTGGAAGCAGCTGGGGAGGGTTGCAGCCTCGGGCTGTGAGCAAGCAGGCCGTCAGCCGTCGGCACCGGGTCTGCGGTGCCCACGCCAGGTCGTTGGCCATTGGCATTGGGTCTGCGGTGCCCACGCCAGGCCGTTAGCATCAGGTCTGCGGTGCCCACGCCGGGCCGTCAGCCGGCGGCACCAGGTCTGCGGTGGCCACGCCGGACCATTAGCCATCAGCACCGGGTCTGCGGTGCCCACGCCGGGCCGTCAGCTGGCGGCACCCGGTCTGCGGTGGTCTGAGCAGCCTCTATATCCGGAGGTCACCGGGCCATCGAGGGAGGGCTGTGCACAGGGAAATGGGGGGTCGGGCGAGATGATGAAACAGCCGTTTCCCTTCGCTGCTTCCCTTCCCCCTCCCCCGCTGCCCCCGCTCACACTCGGCGATGCGGCCACAGGGCCGTGCGCCGGGAGAGCCGGCGCAGGCAGGGGGCCGCGCTGCTCCGTGGGGTGGAGCCGCCCGGCCCAGGGGACGCGGCGAGGCTGGCCCGCGCCAGCGCCGCGGAGCTGGTGGGTGGACTGTCTTGCCCGCCCGCCCGCCCGCCGCGCTCTCCCTCCCGTCCCGGCTCGGCTCGCGTCCCGCACCCCACGCCACCTGGCGACAGTCTTCCCCCCGGGAAGGATCTGTAGGGGGCACCGCAGCTTTATCGGGGCCGGGTCTTCCGCCTCCTGCCAGGGTCCAGAGCCCTGCGTGGCCCTCTGTGTGCTGTGACCGCACCTTTCCCCAGGGAGGGGCGCGCCCTCCACGTCAGGAGGGGCAGGGACCGGTGACAGCTAAGCCCAGAGCCAGGCCCGGAGACTGGCGGGCTCACACCCCTCCCCCGGCGGGCTCACCCCCTTTCGGGCTCACACCCCCTTTCGGGCTCACACCCCCTTCGGGGCTCACCCCCTTCGGGGCCCACAAGACCCCGCGTCCGCCCGCCTTAGCCCGCCCGGTTGCTCCTCTCGCTGCTCCGGCGCACGCTCACTCCCGTCTCCGTTGCAGCATGGCCAACCTGAAGATCGAGCTGTCGAAGCTGGACAGCGAGGCCTGGCCGGGGGCGCTGGACGTGGAGAAGGAGAAGCTGATGCTGATCCACGAGAAGGAGGAGCTGCTGAAGGAGCTGCAGTTCGTCACCCCGCAGAAGCGCTCCCGGGACGAGCTGGGGCGCCTGGAGGCCGACCGGCAGCGGCTGGAGGCCGAGCTGCTGGCCGTGCGCGGCGCGCCCAGCCGGGCGCTGGCCGAGAGGTGGGTGTGCCCGGCCGGGCGCTGGCCGAGAGGTGGGTGTGCCCGGCCGGGCGCTGGCCGGGAGGTGGGTGTGCCCAGCCGGGCGCTGGCCGAGAGGTGGGTGTGCCCGGCCGGGCGCTGGCCGGGAGGTGGGTGTCCCCCAGCCGGGCGCTGGCCGAGAGATGGGTGTGCTCAGCTGGGCGCTGGCCGAGAGGTGGGTGTGCCTGGCCGGGTGCTGGCCGAGAGGTGGGTGTCCCCTGGCCGGTCTGGGGAACCTGGGGTGTGTCCCAGCCGGGCGGGGCCAGGCCCTGGAACGGTGCTCTCGCTCAGCTGCACTGCTGTCCCTCCGAGTCCCGAGTCCGCAGCTCCTCTGGTCCGTGAGGATCGGAAAGAGGCTGAGGCAGGCCTTGGATAGCTCAGGGACGCAGAGGTCACTGACAGTGGCAGATAAACCAAGCGCCTGATAAAGTGATCACCGGGGCCGTGGGAGCAGCCCAGGCTTCCTGTTCTGGGTTTATTACTCTCAAGAATGCACAAGGCTATTACTTCTCATTTCACAAGGAGAGGTCAGCCTGTGCCCTTGACCCCCTCACCAGAATGTCCTCGTGGACTGACTGTGTCCGTTGAAACCCTCCTCGGAAGCGGGAAAGGGGAAGCAGTTTCTCATCTCTGCGGGAAGGCGTAATTTGATCGTTTAATCTTAAAAGCCCGGATCTGCAGTCAGATCAGCAGGACGGTCGGCAGGGGACCCGGGTGCCGGTGTGACAGGCGCACACCTGCACCTGACGACGGACACGGCGACACCGGTGCCAGCCGCGGACCAGGCGGCACCGGAGCCCACACCCCTCAGCCAACAGGGAGGAGCAGGGCCCGGGCCCAGGTGACAGGAAGTCACTTCACCACACCCAGCCGTACCCAATCCCTCTATTTTTTTGTAACTTCTCAGCTTCTTGCTTCTAATTCCTTGTGCTCTGTAAGTGTTGAAGGTCACGTGTCTACGTACTACCAAAACATTCGAGCCGGCCAGCGTGGCTCATGGCTGAGTGTTGACCTATAAATAAGGTGACCAGATGTCCCGCTTTTTAACAATTTGTCTCGCGTAACGTGGCATTTTAAAAAAGTAAGTCCCGATTTTTTGAAAGATTCTTTTAAATCTTTTGGACTTTTTTTAAAACGCCGCGGAACGCGGGACAAATGGTTAAAAATCGGGACTGTACGGCCAAAATTGGGACGTCTGGTCACCTTACCTGTAAACCAAGAAATCACAGCTCGGTTTCTGGCTGCGGGCTCGATCCCCAGTGTGGGGCGTGCAGGAGGCAGCTGACCAATGACTCTCTCTCTCTCTGACCATTGATGTTTCTCTCTCTCATCCCCCTTCCTCTCTGAAGTCAATACGGATGAAAGCAGTGGTGGGGAGGAGGGAGGAAGAGAAAAGGTCTTCCTGGGTTAGGATGCGTCGCTGGTCGTACTTGCCTGCCCTTGGAAGAACTGGCCTTTAAGGGGAAGATGTTGGCCTCACCTGTTAGGGAGCAGGAGACGATGTGCTAGGGAAGCCTCTGCAGATGCTGCCCTGTCCTGTCTCAAAGGACCCAGCTCCTCGCTGGCTCGGCCCGGGCCCTCTCCTTCCCGCTGTTCCTGCACGGGTCAGGAGAAGCTGGTGGAGCTCAGCCCAAGGCAGACGAGCAGTGGGCCGGGAAGGTCCACGTGGCCAGGACGGAAAGGGAGGTGTGAGGAGGAGCCCGCCGTTTCCGAGTTACCGCGGTGGGTGTGTGCGTGTCAGTGACGTGCAGAGCGGGCAGCCCCGTGCAGCCCGTGTACAAAAGGCCAGTGGTGTTTCGAGGCGTGCGTAGCTCTTGCCAAGGTTACGGACCGTCCGCCGGAAGACTGAGCCCTCGGGGCTCTGCCCGGAGACTGTGGGGCTGGGACACAGCCCCCACCCGTGTCCTGGGCGAGAGAAGCTGGCCGTTGGTTTGTCTGCTGTAATCAGCTTCCTATGGGCTGGAGCTTAAAGATCGCTGATGAAGTGGCACTCAATATTTACTTTGTTCTCACCGCTTCAACGTTGGCCGTTAAGCTCTGGTTCGCACGTGTGTGATAACGGTCGGGAATCCGTGCCCGGTGCCCTCCTTCCAGCACTGTCCCTGACTCCCCGACTCCAGCGACGGTGGCGGAGCTCGCCCCCTGGTGGCAGCGAATCATATCGGGAAGAGGCCTGCTCCAGGAGGGACCCTCCTCAGAGACACTGCCCCCCAATGAGAGAAGGATGGGACTTTCCTTATTCTTTCCACGCGGTTTCCGAGACGCCTTAAACTCCGTGCTTGTCTGCAGCTGGCCAGGGCTTCACGTTGCTCCCCACTTTCTCACAAGCCTCAGAGGCTGTATCTCACAGCTTGCCCGCACCAAGGCCCAAGGCGGTACCTGAGCCATGGCCAGCAGAGGGGTTGCCTGTGACTGGGCTGGGGTTCTACCTTTTATTGCTTATTTATTTATAATATACTTTCATTGATTTCCGAGAGGAAGGGAGAGGGAGAGAGAGACATCGATGATGAGAGAGAATCATTGATCAGCTGCTGCCTCCTGCACGCCCCACCCTGGGGATCGAGCCCACATGTGCCCTGACCAGGAATTGAACCCGTGACCTCCTGGTTCATTGGTCGGTGCTCAACCACTGAGCCACACCAGCCAGGCGGATTTTATGTTGTAGCGCGAAGCACGCTACCACGCCCGGGGAGCCTTCGTTCTGTGCGCTGCTGAGATTTAAGGCGTAACGGGGAAGCACTGCTGCTGCTTCCAGACCTCCTTCCTCTCATCTGCTTTGTGTTAATGTTCTTCCTTGTTGGGTTCTGATGTATGTCTAAGAGATTCAAAAAGCACGGACTGTGCTCCTTTTCAAAACCCACCTTCCAACGCCGTGCATTAAGAACTTACCACTCTTTGAAGTCCTACACAAAATGACGAGAATTCGTTTTTTTATTTTAACCTATAATGGAATTGTGTTGGCGGCACATCAAAGGGAAAATGCCTATAAATAAAACATGGGCACGTTTTCTCACTGCATGAAACATACACAATTTCCAAGGAGCTGGAAATGAGGGGAGCTTTCTCCCACGGAGAGGCGGTCGTGTTTACGTCGCCACCTCGCGGGCCGAGGCTCTGAGCGGGCCGGTCTGCCTCCCTCACACTCTCCCCATGTGGCCGCCCCCACGGCCTCCCAGGCAGGCTCGGGGCACTGCGCCCCCATTGCACAGATGGGAAGGCTGAGGCCTGGGCGGGGCGCTCCGGAGGGCGCACAGCCAGCGCGGCACCAGCCTGGGCCCTGGTGCTGCTTGCCCCTGCCGCAGGCCGGGCACCCTCTGAGGGACTCGCTTCCCTGCCCTCTGAGGGCCCGAGGGGACGGGCGGCCTCGCACAGCCCCGGCTTTGTGAGCCCCGGAGCTCCGCGTGTGGTCAGTGTTGGTCCGAGGACACTGCGCCGTGGCTAATTCCCACCAGCCTCCCGCCCGGGGCCGCTGAAGCTGGGTGCACGGAGCTCCGTGATGGCCTGGTGTGGGCGATGGGCGGGCTGCGGACGGACGGAACGTCGTACTCACATCTCTCTGGCGTGAACATGTGGGCTGATGGGTTCCTTAACCGCCAGCGTTCGGCATTGTTGCCACTGAACATCCTGTGGGCACAGTCTCTGCGGGTTCAGTGCCCAGTCCATCTCCTGTGACTGTTCCTGCCATCACACTGCTTCAGGCACGCGAGCCCAGCACGGCCTGCGGGGCCTGTGACCTGGGTCAGTGTCTGTTTTCCTTCTCACTCTCTTCCTGTAATTCACATGAGTGTGAGGTTTTCCCCGCTGAAGAAACCTGTAACAGCCCTGTCTGGTTTGGCTCAGTGGATAGAGCATGGGCCTGTGGACTCAAGGATCCCAGGTTCGATTCCGGTCAAGGGCATGTACCTTGGTTGGGGGCACATCCCTGGTAGAAGGTGTGCAGGAGGCAGCTGATCCATGTTTCTCTCTCATCAGTGTTTCTAGCTCTCTATCCCTCTTCCTCTCTGTAAAAAAAAAAAAAAAAAAAAAAAAAAAAAAAAAAAAAAAAAAAAAAAAAAACACAACAAAATAATTAAGTACATAAAATACTTTCCCCCATTCTATGGGTTATCTTGGAAGGAAGGAAGGAAGGAAGGAAGGAAGGAAGGAAGGAAGGAAGGAAGGAAGGAAGGAAGGAAGGAAGGAAGGAAGGAAGGAAAAACTGTAGCGAACCATGCTCACAGCATCCTCAGGTGTGCTGACGAGGCGGGGCCGTGGGCGCTCTGCCCACTTGGCTTCCTGCCGGGGTTGCTCCCTCTCCGTCAAGTTCACTCCCCCCCACCCCCCATGGCCTGTATGACGATAACCTTCCCTCAGTCACCATGGTCTGTCATCGTCGCTTGAAAGTAAACATTCCTTCCTGTGGCTTTTTCTAGATTGAAACTGGAGGAGCGCAGGAAGGAGCTGCTCCAGAAGCTCGAAGAAACGACCAAACTGACCACTTACCTGCACTCAGAGCTGAAAAGGCAAGTCTCCCGGCCTCCGGGGCCGTCTCCTCCCGGCTCCGCTCAGGAGCGTCTCCGTCCGCCTCTGATTACTGTTCTCCTCCTGCTCCGCCCTTTAGAAGGAAGGAACGTAAGTCATGCTAGCCCCGCGGTCGGCAGACTGCGGCTCGCGAGGCACGTGCGGCTCTTTGGCCCCTTGAGTGTGGCTCTTCCACAAAACACCACGGCCCGGGCGAGTCTGTGTGGAAGAAGTGGCGTTAGAAGTTTAAGTTTAAAAAACTTGGTCCTCAAAAGAACTGTCAGTCGTTATACTGTTGACATTTGGCTCTGCAGACTCATGAGTTTGCCGACCCCTGGGCTAGTCCAGTGGCCGAGCTGAAGGTCGCACAGGCTTCCCTTTCCTGAGCCTCGGGGTTGCCTTTGAAACACATTGGAGACATGGCGTGGGAAGCAGGTGCATTGGCTTCAGCACACACCTGGGGCAATGACGTCTTTTCTCCACGTGAGCCCTTCTTTTAAAAGGACATTTTTAATACACACAGAGGAGGGACTGAGCCCACCTCTGTGAGCTCCATCTTCCTCACCCGCCTCGTCTCTCTCTCAGAAAGCGCCATTGTTCCGCAGAGTGACTGCACTCGCACTGTGCGCTGTTCGCCCGTCCGTATGTAAACCACAGCCGCTCTGGCTACCTGTGCAGGTGGATCACCAACAGGGGTTTGAACCTGCTGCGGAAGGGGGATGGTTTGAATCAGGGTGGGGTTATTGCTTAAAGAGTAGCAAAGAGCCAGCTTGACGTTATTCATGAAGAATCCCATCATGGGCCCTAACCGGTTTGGCTCAGTGGATAGAGCATCGGCCTGCGGACTGAAGGGTCCCAGGTTCGATTCCAGTCAAGGGCATGTACCTTGGTTGCAGGCACATCCCCAGTAGGGGGTGTGCAGGAGGCAGCTGATCGATGTTTCTCTCCCATCGATGTTTCTAACTCTCTATCCCTCTCCCTTCCTCTCTGTAAAAATCAATTTAAAAAAATATTTTTTTTTAATAAAAGAAAAGAATCCCTTCGCGGGAAGTTCTGTCCACCCCGGCCTGCAGCGCCGCGGGCCTGGGCCTGGGCCTGGGCCTTCCGGTGAGCCCGTTTGACAGTCTGCGCCCCTCTCCCCCGCAGCCTCTCCGCCAGCACCCTGTCCATGTCCTCCGGGAGCAGCCTGGGCTCGCTGGCCTCCAGCCGGGGCTCCCTGAACACCTCCAGTCGGGGCTCGCTCACCTCGCTCAGCTCCGGCGAGCTCTACTACGGCGGCCCGGGCGAGCCGCTGGACGCCGACTACCAGTACAGGCTGGACTTCCTGCTGCAGGAGAAGGGCGGCTACGTGCCCGCCGGGCCCATCACCACCATCCACGAGAACGAAGTGGCCAAGTCGCCCGGCCAGGGCGGCCCCGGCGGGCAGGCCGCCCCGGGCCCCGCGCCCCCGCCGGCCGAGGCCCCCAAGTCCGTGACGTCCCTGTCCTCCCGGTCCTCGCTGTCCTCCCTGTCCCCTCCCGGCTCCCCGCTGGTGCTGGACGGCGCCTTCCCCACGTCGCCCCCCGACGCCCCCCTGCACCGCTTCGCCGCCGACTTCGAGGACGGCGACCTGAGCGGCCGCTTGGCGGACATGGGCCTCGGCGACGGCCAGGCGCTGCTGGACGCCGAGGCGGGGGCGGGCCCGGCCCCGGGGGAGGACCGGGACCCGCGGGAAGGCGCCCGGGAGCGGTTCGACGAGGCCATCGCAGGTACGTGGGCGTCGCCGGCCCGGAGGGGGACGGCGGGAGGGCTGCTGTCCCCCTTAGACCAGACCAGGGCGCGGCCCCCCTCTTCCCGCTGCTCTCTGTTTCACTCCGTCTCCGGAGTGGTAGGTGGTATCCCTAGACACTTCTCTCCACCGCATGAGCATCGCCTTCCCTGGCGGTGATCTCTCACCGGCTTCTGTCCTGCCGTCGGACACCCTGTGCGTGGCCGTGACCTGCACGTGTCTGTGCACACGGGACACATGGGGCGGCGTCCGGTTCTGGAAGAACACGGCCCAGCAAGGGCTTTCTGTCCAGAGCGGGCCTGACCGGGAGCCAGGCCATCGGCACTCGGCTCCGCGGTGCAGGGCTCGGTGTGCACGCTGCCCCCTGCCCGGGCGGGCGGGCGGCTGCAGGGCCGGTGCCACCTGCTGGCCTGCGAGCTCCCCGCATCCGCTCCCAGACAGGAGGGGAGATTTCCCTCAGGGCGCTCCTCGGCGGAGCGGACGTGGCCGCGGAGAGGACAGGCGGTGCCGTCGGCACTCGGCACAGCTGTGCCCAGGAGGGCGGGCTGTCGTGGCCCCCCGAGCCCTGTCCGCACCTGCACGCGGGACCGTGTCTGCGACACGCAGGAGCACGGCTCCTCGCCAGCATCTTCTTGTGTCGAGGATCATATTTAACTGGTGTTCGTGGTCCTCGGAGGCGAATAAGTGTCACTGGACTCAGTGTCGAATAAGCGTGCAGATGTTTAAAGAGAGGAGAATCCATCTTGTTGGCGTGGTTTCAGTCCCGGAAGACTGAGCCCCCACCTGCCCGGGCCTGGCGTGGGCAGAGGGGGCACAGCAGACCCTGTGGCTCGGGTGCTGCTGCCTGGTTCCCAGCGGACAGGCGGGAGCCGGCCCGGGAGCCGGCCTGGGCGGGAGGTCTGGAGCCTCGGGCCCCGCACCGTGGCTGCAGTGGTGACCTCCTCCTCCTCCTCCTCCTCGGCGGGGATTGCGGTTCGGAGCTCAGACCCGAACTGTGTGCGTGTGTCATCCCCAGCTGGTCCCGGTAAGAAGCCTCACGCGTGTGTGTCCCCCCCCAGACGCGGAAAAGCCGCCCGCGAGGAGGAGGGGCGCGCCCCTGCTCGGGGAGAGGACGGCCTGCGTGTCGGCGGCCGTGTCTGATGAGTCGGTGGCGGGAGACAGTGGCGTCTACGACGCCTTCGTGAAACAGTAAGGCTCCCGGGCATGGCCATCACCCTCCCCCAGCCCGCGCGTGGGTCCTGGCCAAGGCATCCCTCCGCCAGCAGCACTGGGGAACATGTGCCTGGACTGTGCCTGGTCACTCTGTGTCCAAGATGGTCTGCAGCCAGGGACAGGCACGCGTGTCAGCCAGGGAGGGGCAGCGTGTCACGGGGACAGACACACAAGTTACAGGGACAGACACGCGTGTCAGCCAGGGAGGGGCAACATGTCACAGGGACAGACACATAAGTTACAGGGACAGACACGCATGTCAGCCAGGGAGGGGCAGCGTGTCACGGGGACAGACACACAAGTTACAGGGACAGACACGCATGCCAGCCAGGGAGGGGCAGCATGACATAGGGACAGACACGCATGTCAGCCAGGGAGGGGCAGCATGTCACGGGGACAGACACATATGTCACAGGGACAGGCACGCGTGTCAGCCAGGGAGGGGCAGCATGTCACAGGGACAGACACGCATGTCAGCCAAGGAGGGGCAGCATGTCATGGGGACAGACACACAAGTTACAGGGACAGACACGCATGTCAGCCAGGGAGGGGCAGCGTGTCACTGGGACAGACACACAAGTTACAGGGACAGACACGCATGTCAGCCAGGGAGGGGCAGCATGTCAGCCAGGGATAGACATGCATGTCACAGGGACAGACCCGCATGTCAGCCAGGGAGGGCAGCATGTCAGCCAGGGATAGACATGCATGTCACAGGGACAGACACACATGTTACAGGGAGGGACAGCATGTGAGCCAGGCAGGGACAGACACGCATGTGAGCCAGGGAGGAACATGTCACGGGGGCGAGCAGGGCTGTCCTTCCTTAGACAGCCTCCTGAGCCCTCACTGACGTGGGTGAGAATGCTGGAGGGCTGGCACCTGCGTGGCATCAGCTCCGAGGAGGTGTCGGGAGCAGGGTGAGGGCAGGGGTGCAGTGGACCCCAGGGAGGCACCAGGGAGCCGCTCCCCTAAAGGGTGGGAGACAGCCCCTCCTGACAAGGTGAGGGGGAGCTGAGTGAGCCCCGGGTCAGCGGGGGAGGAGTGCGGGAATTGGGCTCTCACTCAGGTGGCCAGTGGCCGACGGTGACCTCACCACTGAGCTCCCCTTACTGAGCCGCTCTCCTGCGCCCCTGTGTCCGGCTCCAGGCCCAGTGACGTGGGAGACGCTGCCTACGGTGAAGAGGATGCTGGCGTCGTCATGGAGACGGCGCAGGTGCAGATCGGGCTCAGGTAAAGGCTGTGTAGGCGCGGGGGCGGGGTAGCACTCAGTGCAGGACACCCCTGTGACATGTTCCTCCCTGGGCTCCCCCCTCACCAGCTTCTCTGCCCACAGATACGACGGGAAAAGGGCCAGCTTCCTGGTGATGATCGCTCAGCTCCGGAATCTGCACGCCTTCCTGATACCTCATACTTCCAAAGTGTAAGTGAGACCGGCGGAGAGCCAATGGCGGCCATCCCCCCCCACGGCGGCATTCCCACGGTCACCCAGGTCCCTCGGGAGCCGGGCCGGACCTGCCGAGGGGGAGAACGCGGACAGGCCCTGAGCCGTCGCCCTCTGGTGTCTGCAGGTACTTCAGGGTCGCCCTGCTGCCCTCCTCCGCGGACGTCAGCTGCCTGTTCCGGACGAAGGTGCGCCCGGCCGCGGAGCCCCTGGTGTTCGGCGACGTGTTCCGCGTGGCCATCGCACAGGCGGCCCTGCAGCAGAAGACGCTGCGGGTGGACCTGTGCTGCGCCCGCGCGCACCGCTCGGAGGAGTGCCTGGTGGGTGGCCCGCTGCCCGCCCCCTCGCCCGGCCCCGGCATCGTGGTGTTTCTGTGGCTGTGGGCCGGGGGCTGTCGCAGTTTACGTGTGAAGGATGGTCTCAGGTTTCTGTTCTCTTTTTCCACACCTTTGGCCTCTGCCTCTGCGTGGTGACTCTGTAAAGGCTGCTTTCCCTTTTCACCCTTTGACCTCTGTCTGTCTGTCACCGTGGAGCATGTTTGCTCAGTACGAGTCTCGTGCTGGGTGCTCTGTGCGTAACATCTCATGAAATCCTCATCACTTTTATAAAAAAAAAAAGTATGGTCGCCCCAATCTGCCTAATAAAAGAGTAACATGCTATTGACCATATCTTCGCAACGCCCACCAGCCAATCAGGAGTGAGTATGCACATTAACCTAACAAAGAAGGTGGGTTAATTTGCGTACACAGGCGCCCGAGCAGCCAGGGGATGGGGCGGGACACAGGCTTTCCGCACCCTAGCTGCTCCGGGCCTCTGGGCAGCAGGGGACGGCAGACAGGCGGCTCTGGCCAGAGCAGAGGCGGTGCCGGCAGCCAGGGGAAGGAAGGCCCATTCTTGCACAAATCTTCAATTCGTGCATTGGGCCACTAGTTTTCAATAAAGAACTGCAGAGAGGGGTAATGTACAGCCACCACGTAACCCCACACCGATTCACTGTCACAGACTTAAATGGAGCAAGACACTGAGTGTCGCGTCCCTGTGTTGGGCTCACTCTCCAGGCCTGGCAGTGGAGCATCGAGGAAGACAGGCGTGCTGTCAGGGCAATGTGATACTTAAACGCTGACGCGGCAGACTGCGTGCAGCTGACGGCGACTTTAACGCTCTGTGCGCGTCGCGCCAGAAAGCCCTTCCTCACCAGTGAAACGCGGTGCCCCAATGGGCCAGATGAACGGAGGGCCTCACCGAGCCCTTCTCCGCAGGACGCATGGAGGTGGAGTGAAAGAGCCATATTTTGTCTGTCTGTAAAAATACCTGCTGTTGTCTGGCAGTGAAGACAGAAAGAAGCAAAGATGCTCTGGCTCAGGGGATAGAGTGCTGGCCCACAGACTGAAGGATCCAGGGTTCGATTCCGGTCAAGGGCACGTACCTCGGTTGCAGGCTCCATCCCAGTCCTGGTCGGGGTGTGTTCAGGAGGCATCCTATCCATGTGCCTCTCTCACATCCATGTTTCTTTCTCTCTGTCTGTCCCCCTCCCTCTTACTCTCTAAAAAATCAATGAAAAAATATCCTCGGGTGAGGATTAACAAAATATTTTAAAAAGCAAGAAGCAAAGATAGACTAATTAGGCTGTCAGAAAGGCTTAGTATAAATATATGTGTTAGCAGCTCCGTAAGGTTGATAAATATGTTCAGTGTTCTTCTTATAAAATGATACAGTTTAATTTAGATCCTGGTTAATAAGTATGATTTGGTAATATATAAAAGCTTTTAACCCTTTTTTTTTTTTTTTTTTTTACATTCTACTAATTTAGTTAAGAATCTAATTTCTCATTTAAGAACCACAATGGAGTTTTTTTTGTTATTTTTTACATTTTTAGTAGATAATGGAATTTTGTAAATAATAATCAGATCACTCATAATGATGTAAGATGTATTATGGTTTATACGTAGCCATTTGTATTTGTATTTTTATTTTTATTTTATTTTTTTAATATATATTTTATTGATTTTACACAGAGAGGAATTGAGAGGGACAGAGAGTTAGAAACGTCGATGAGAGAGAAACATCGACCAGCTGCCTTTTGCACACCCCCCACTGGGGATGTGCCCGCAACCAAGGTACATGCCCTTGACCAGAATCGAACCCGGGACCTTTCAGTCCGCAGGCCGACGCTCTATCCACTGAGTCAAACCAGTCCCGGCTGTATTTGTATTTTTAAACTTTTTTAAAAATAACGATTTCCCACTTATAAAATGCTGCATGCTTAGTCATTAGGTTGTGGCAAAACAGTATCTCACAAACCAATCCCATAATTGGCTTTTACTTTTTTAATATTTTATAAAAATATTTTTAATTGATGTCAGAGAGGAAGGGAGGGGAAGAGAGAGATAGAAACATTCATGATGAGAGTCAGTCATTGATCGGCTGCCTCCTGCTCGCCCTACACAGGGGATCACGCCACAACCCAGGCCTGTGCCCTGAGAGAGAATCAAACCAGTGGCCTGGCTGATAGGCTGACGCTCACCACTGAGCCACACCGACTGGGTCAGAGTTGGCTTTTAGATTGGGATCATTCCTACTCAGTCACACCTGGAAACATAAGACATCTTCATGTTTTTTAAAAAAGTAATGCTTTATATCACAAATATTGCTCTTTTTTTTTTTAATCCTAAAACAAGCTTGTCCCATAATCTGAGTTATATCAGGAGCAAATATGGATTTAAACACGTTCTCTCCTCTCTTTTTCCTCTCGCCTCCCACAGGCCGGGACTCAGATCAGTCTGGCCGATTTGCCGTTTTCCAGTGAGGTCTTCACCCTGTGGTATAACCTGCTGCCTTCTAAGCAAATGCCTTCCAAAGCGAACGAGGAAGAACATGAGGATTCGGTGTTCCAGCCGAGCCAGCCACCGGTGGAGCCCATAGACCTGGTGAGTCAAAATGAGAGAAGAAAGTCATCGCAGTTTAATAAGCCAACACGGATAGCAGGCTGTGCGCCAGCGTGCTCTATCCCTCTCGCTATCCTTCCTCCCTCCCGCCTCCTGGGAGCAGGAAAGATGGTCTCCAGCTGCTCCACGCTGATAGGGAATGGCTTGTTTCTGCTCACACGTCCTCCCATAGCCACCACCTGCGTGGAGGCGCGTGGCGTTGGGGGACATGGGCAGCCTTTGGATCTCAGTTTATATTTTTACACGTGGTGTTCACTATCAGGCTATCCATTTTTTTGCAAAGGCTAACACATAAGCTTAGTTTCCGTTTGTAACATCGAGCTGCCACACAGCCCACGCCCTTACCATGTGCGGTTCCCCGTCGGGACCACACAGGCCAGTCGTTCTTAGTTGATTCACAGCCTCGTGCAACCCTCACCACGTCTAACATTAGAGGGTTGCATCCTCCCAAAAGGAAGCCGCAGTCACTCCCAGTCCTCACCCTCGCACCCAAGACAAGCATCCATCTTCCTTCCGTCTCCATAGATTAGTTAATTGTGGACACCCGGGATAAATGGAGTAGTTTACAGTGTTTATTCGGATCCCTTGTTTGCTTTTAAAATGGTTATTTCATCTTTTTATTATTGAGTTATGAGTGTTCCTCATATATTCTTGATAGAAGTCTCTTATCCAGTAAATGATTTGCACATATTTTCTCTCATGCTGTGGGTTATCGTTTCATTTTCTTGATGGTTTTACTTGCAGTAAGGTTTTCAATTGTGATAAAAATCAAATTGTGTGTATTTTTTTTTTCTTTTATTACGTATGCTGTTGATGTCATTCTCAAGAAGGCTTTGCCAAACTTAACATAACAAAGATTTACTCCTGTGTTTCCTTCTGAGAGTTTTAAAGTTTAGTTTTAGTTTTAGGCCTCTGATGCATTTGTTTTCTTATGTGTAATGTAATGAATGGGTCCAAGTTCAGTCTTTTTGTATGTGGGCATGCAGTTGTCCTAACACAAAAAAATATACTCTTTCTCCCATTGAGTTATCTTGCCCAAAATCAGTTGAACATAAGTGTGAGTATTTAAATTTCTGGACTCTCAATTCTGTTTCACTCACCTACCTACATGTCTGTACTTAGGCCAGCACCACATTTGATTATATAGTTTATTTAGTAATCATTTTGAAATCAGAAAGTATGAGTCATCAAACTTGGTTTTCCTTTTTCAAGATGGTTTGGGATGTTCAGTGTCCCTTGCATTTCCATATGAATTTTAGCACTAGTTTATCAATTTACACACACACACACACACACACACACAAAGATAGGGTTTTGATAGAGACTACACTGAGTCAGTAGTCATTTGAGGACTTTGTTGCCTTAACAGTGTTCATCTTGCTGAAACTGGTTTGGCTCGGTGGGTAGAGCGTCGGTCTGTGGACTGAAAGGTCCCAGATTCAAGGGCATGTACCTTGGTTGCGGGCACATCCCCAGTAGGGGGTGTGCAAGAGGCAGCTGATGGATAAATCTCCCTCATCGATGTTTTTAACTCTCTATTCCTCTCTCTTCCTCTCTATAAAAAAATCAATAAAATATATTTTTTAAAAAACAACAAAAAAAAACCAGTGTTCATCTTCTGATGTATGAGTGCAGGATGTCTTCCCATTACTTAGGTCTTCCTTAATCTCTTCCAGCACAGTTTCGTATTTATCCGAGACCAGTTTATACGTCTTTTGTTGATTTTGTTCTTTTTTTGACGCTCTTGTAAATAGAACTGTTTTCTTAATTACATATTCAGAATATTCATTGCATAATTAGTTTTTGTCTATTTATCTTGTATCCTTCAATCTTGCTGAACTCACTTATTAGTGCTAATAGTGTTTTGTAGTGGATTCCCTAGGATTTTCTTCGTATAAGATTATATCTTCTGAAAACAGCGTTAGCCTACTTCTTCCTTCCCAGTCTGCTTTGTGTCTCAGCGCCTTGCTTGCCCGTTGGCAGGTGCCCCTGGGGGAACTACAGGAACGGCGCTCACGTTAGAGTCGCTTTCTCCGGTCCCTCGCGTGCCGCCAGCACCGTCTGGTCTGAGTGCCTCCCTCTGGAATTGACATGTACTCCCCCCGTTCTCCCGGCTCCCGGAAAAGATGGCAGTGGTGGTCGGTCCGCCTTTCCCTTCAGCCAGGGCCTTGGCCCTCTGGTCCCCGTAGCCGTGGTGGCTCTCCATCGCTTTAAAACACCTGGCGTTCCTGTGGGTTTCATTCTGTTCATCTTGCATATTCTCAGCAGGAGAATCGGGTCTAGTCCGGCTCCCTCTTCACAACTGGAAGTCCCACCTGGTGCGGGTCCCCCTTCCTTCCTTCCTTCCGGAAGGGCGTCTGCTCACGGCCCTCTGTTCCCTCCCCAGGACGCAGTGTCGGCCTTACTCGCAAGAACGTCGGCGGAGCTGCTGGCCGTGGAGCAGGAATTGGCACAGGAAGACGAAGAGCCGGGGCCAGGCGCAGAGCAGAGGGGTCCGGATGGAGACTGGTAAGGCCTCCCTCCTTGGCTGGTGGGAACCAGGAGGTCACGGCTCCACTCCTGATCAGGCACCGGCCGGGGTTGCAGGCTCGATCCCCAGGAGGGGGCGTGCAAGAGGCAGATGATCAATGATTCTGTCATCGTTGATGTTTCTATCTCTCACTCCCTCTCCCTTTTCTGAAATCAATACAAAAAAAATTTTTTTAAAGAAACTTCCAGGGGCTGAGATCGGTTTGGCTCAGTGGATAGAGCATCTGCTTGGGGACTGAAAGGTCCCGGGTTCAATTCCGGTCAAGGCCATGTACCTTGGTTGCGGGCACATCCCCAGTGGGGGGGGTTGGGGGGGGTGCAAGATGCAGCTAATCGATGACTCTCATCGATGTTTCTAACTCTCTCTCTCCCTTCCTCTCTGTACAAAATCAATAAAATATATTTTTAAAAAAAGAAAGAAAAAGAAACTTCCAGGGAAACCTTCGTGGGATCAGACCTCCTTCTGGAGTCAGGGGCAGCGGTGTAGCTTCAGGGAGTTGTCCCCCGAGGAGCGGCCCCCTCCGTCCCTGGAGGCAGAGGGGTCATGGGGAGATTGTCAGGACAGTTAACACATCAGCAAGACTCGAGTCCTTTGGTAACTTGAACACTATTTCCTGAGCTTTTTTAACTCCAGGTCTACACAATGGATTCTGAGAGGTGTAGTGGGTTACTGTGGAGTTACAGATAAGTTTAAAAACTGGCTCTTTTCCTTAACTGCGGTACCCTTCAGGCTTTGGCGAGTCCAGTCAGGTGTTAGGGGATGGCTTCTGAGCAGCCATTTCACTGTTTGTTACCACTTTCACCTTCCTTTGTTATCTCATTACTCACTCCCCAGCCTTTACAAAAGGTTTGGCGGGATTGGTAATCACAGCTTTTGTCTGGACTCAGGTCTGTATGAAGAATGATATCTCTCTTGGTTTGTACTGTCTTCTCTAAAATCCAATTTTAGTGACTACATCTGTTTTGTAAATACGTGTGTAAAATTACTTGAATTAATTTTTATATATAAATATATATTACTTGAGCTACTGTTAGCACATGTGCTTACACATATATAACATGCGTTTGTGTGCATGTGTGTGTAAAAAACTCTTTCCCAGTTAGAATAACATCATACAAATAAGGTCGTGGGCACGTGGCAGGCGCAGCGAACTGCAGTGATGTCAGAGGTACAGCGAACTGCAGTGATGTCAGAGGCACGTGGTTCTCATCACTAGCCTCACAGGGAATAAAACCGGAGACCGCAAAAGCACACACACCAGGAACGTGAGTGAGGACGTGTTGTATTAAGGTATCGTTAGATATGAGCCTTCCTATGCATGTGAAGTGCAGTTTGTTTCACACGCATTTCAAAAATACACTTTATGAAATACACATAAAGAAATCTGCACCTCACAGTGTTCATTGCTAGCCCCCCGTCTTCACTCCATGACGAGGCGTTTAATGTCTAGGCTGTACCAGTTGGTCCCCCATCACAGTTAAAGCTCTGCTTTTCGTTATCAGTAAGAAGATGTCCGCATTCTAAGAACATGAAACACAGCCCAGCATGAGACGTTCTAAACACGCTGAGCTCCTGCTCACCCGTCAGTAGAGTTTGTACAGAACACGATGTGTGGTAAAGCCCCTGCTTACCACAGCACCCAAGCCCGGGCCATGGCTTTCGTGGACGACAAGGTCACACGGCCTGAAGGTCTTCTGTAATTTCCGCAGTGAAACTCCCTTCTCACCAGGTCCACCCCCACAGACCGTGAGCGCAGGGGAACATGGGTATTTTTACTCCTCATGTCTTTATCCACTCTGAGCAGAGTCACTCTGTTCCATCGTACGATTAACTTTACAGCCCAGCCAGTGCTGCTCAGTGGTTGAGCGTCGACCTAAGAACCTGGAGGTCATGGTTCGATTCCTGGTCAGGGCACATGCCTGGGTTGCAGGTTTCATCCCCAGTGTGGGGCGTGCAGGAGGCAGCCGATCCATGATTCTCCTTCATCAGTGATGTTTCTATCTCTCCCTCACTTTTCCTCTCTGAAATCAGTAAAAATATATTTTTAAAAATCTTTTACAAGACACAGACAACTAACACCAAATTATATCCTAGGGAGTGACAATATTTTTAAATGGTAGGGCTAACTTTAATATTTGATTTTCTATATATTTCTCTTTTAATCTTTAGGGATTAGGTCAAATTCCATTCATGAGTTTGACATTTGAGTACCTAACTATGGTGACGCCGCTGTCGGTTGCTGGAGATAACGTTATTTTTCATGTTCATTTTAGCAGAAAGGGCTTGATCTGTGTCTGCTGTCCCTTGCCCTGGGTGCCAGGTGGACGTCCCAGGTTGCATTGTGCGGGGACATGTCGGCTGGACTTAACATGTGTCTCCTTTTGTTTCTCCAAGGCTGGCGATGCTGAGGGAGGCCTCTGACGAAGTGGTGGCTGAGGAAGAGGCGGACGTGGCCTTGCCAGGGGGCAGCAGGTGTATGGAAGACCTAAGCTCATGCCCGGGTATGCCCGCGACTGCTGGAGGCACGAGGAGGGGAGAGAGCAGCTGTGCCAACGGCCCTGGCAGCCAGCCCCCTCCGGGAATGCCCACCCTGGTGAGTACTTCCGCTGCCCTCCCCCCAGGCCGGCTCTCACCGGCTCCCCTCCGGCTGCGCTTGTCTCTGCCGGTGTAACCACACCGGGCCTTTGCAGAAGCTGATTGATAGCCATAGGCATCATGGAGTCGGCTCTCAGAGGCATCGTAAACGCCTTACAAATCTCAAATGGGCCCAAATATTCACCCCCCACTTAGCTTCTCTGTGAGAAGGTAAATAGCGGTACGTAGATCTGGTCATGGCTCTGTGTTTATTAAAAGCATTTTCAGAGTTTCCTGGGTAACACGGGAAGGTCACCTAATTGTATTGAGTTTCATAAATGTTGCAAGTTTACTTCCACTTCAAACAGGCAGTCGGCGTTCCCAGTTCACGCCCGTAGAGGGTGTTCTGATTGGGGGTGGCAGAGGGCCGTCCGGGCACAGGCGCTCGCTGAGTGGCAGACACGTTGAGCGGACGTTATCTTCAGGCTTTGAGGATGCTGTCGAACGTGGGATGTAACAGCTTAGACAATCCCTTTATCCTGAGAAAGCAGTGCCGCACGTACCCGACTGAAGACTTTGTGTGGGTGGACACGTGTAATTGCAGAGTCTACATAAACCTATGCTTTTGCAGTAGATCTCATTTTCTTGTTTAATCACCTTTATCACTTACTGGAAGCCCGATGCACGAAGATTCCTGCTAGAATGGGCTTTCCTCTCCCTGGCTGCCAGCCCAGCCCCTGTCCACTCCACCCCGCCTTCCCACGCTGCCCAGAGGCCCCGAGAGACTGGGGGTAGGGCAGAACGCCTGTGTCATTGCCAAGCATCACTCAGCGCCTGTGTATGCAAATCAACCACCTCCTTTGTTGGGTTAGCTTGCATATCACTCCTGATTGGCTGGTGGCGTAGTAGTGGAGGTACGGTCAATTTGCATGTGTGTCTATTATTAGGTAAGACTCTGGAGAAAGCACTAATCCGTTGGATGCTATTTAATGATGAGGCGTGCCCAAATAAAACTGTTTATAGCGCCACGTTTACCTTGTGTAAATGGAAACCTTCGTTCTTTAGGCCTAGTCTGTTAGGACAGGTATCACCCTACCCACCGGCCCTGTGGGTTGTCGGTTGGGATCCCCTCAGCAGTCACGAGGCCCTTCCCTCTAAGAGGCCCGAGTGCTAGATGGGTCTGCAGTGTAAGGTCAGGCCTTCCTCTCGTCCTTAGAAGGACGGGGCACGAATGTGTCCACTTGTGCCGCCCCTGACGGAGGCCTTCTGTTGCAGGTCGACAAGGAGACAAACACAGAGGAGGCCGAGGAGGCGGGCCTGGCGGTTCGGCCCAAAGAGCGCAGCGGACTGAGCACGCGGCAGCGCCCCCTGGTGCGGAGCAGCGTGATCGTGCGCTCGCAGACCTTCTCGCCCGGGGAGCGCAGCCAGTACATCTGCCGGGTAAGGAGCGGCCCTGCCCACGGGAACATGGCACACGCCCGGGACATGCCCCTGGGGTGGGCGTCTCAGACTCCGACCACAGACAGGAACCGCTAGGAATGTTTCCATAAGTTACTGGTAACTATCACACTAGTGGTTCGTTTTAGTTTGGTTATGGGGTCCCCCCACCCGCCTTCCTAAATTTAATGTGTCATTGGCTCAGGGCCATGCATTTGGCAACTACGTGAAATTGCAGACCTGGCTACTAAGTAAACCTGGACTTCAGTCTGTGTTTAGAAACGTCAGGTGATCTGAGGGTTATCCTCTGTGGACCTCTGTGTCCATTATACGCCACATCGGTCCTGCTGGACCGGAAACTGTGAACTGGGTTTTAGAACAAAGTCGTCTTTTAGCGATGGGTTCTATTTCCCGTAGAGCTTATGACTTCTGGTAATACAGGCTCAGTGATATACAGTGGGTTAAAGTGTGTTCGTTTGATCCAACAGACGTGTGTGTATCAGCACCTGCTCTTAAGCATGTCTCTAGCTGCCTGGGATGGGTCTGGACCAGAGCCCATGGCACTGCCCTTGCAGAGCTGCGATGAGCAGTGGACACGATGCGTCTGGGATGGGGCCGGGGGCTGTGAGACGAGGGTCTGGGATGCCGAGGGCTAGGGGGCAGGTTTAAGTAGGTTCACGTGGGCTTCACCGACGAGGTGACATTTCACAGCTCCCTGGTGCCGGCGGCGGGGAGAAGATGGGCTGACTGGGCTAAGAGCCATCTCGGTTGTGCAATCTGTGTCTCAGCTCCAACCTGCACACCAGCTTTTCTTTTAAAGATAAATGTTGTGGGCCCTGGCCAGTTCGGCTCAGGGGATAGAGCGTGGGCGTGCAGGCTGAAGGGTCCCAGGCTCAATTCTGGCCAAGGGCACATGCCCGGGTTGTGGAGTTAATTCGCAGCAGGAGGTGTGCAAGAGGCAACCGATCAGTGATTCTCTCTCATCATTGATGTTTCTATCTCTTCCTCTCCCTTCCTTCAGAAATCAATTTTTAAAAATAAAATTAAATAAATGTTTCAAGGGGGGGGGGGGAAATAAGTAAAAATAAATAAATGTTGTGTATTAGCTGAAAACAAAAAGGATATTTTATGTCAGAGTCTGTGCGGTTATCTTGGCCATGACTTCTGATAACTGCCACCGACAGGCACTTGTTTAACTTATTCCTGGAGAGCACGTCGTGTAAGGAACAACGGGGCAGGGCAGAGCCTGTTGGGAGGGTTTTCTGTACGAGATGGACTGTTATCGCCACCCCTTTCCCTGCCCCTTGGTCGGCAGTCTGTCAGGCAGTGACTTTCTCTTCTTATCCTTTTTGCCAGTTAAATCGGAGTGACAGCGACAGCTCAACCCTGGCTAAAAAGTCTCTGTTTGTGAGAAACTCCACTGAGCGGCGCAGTTTGAGGGTCAAAAGGGTACGTATTCGGTCAGCACGGCCCGGTCCTGCCCACCGGCGTCCTGGCCGCCGGCGTCCGCTGGGCTCCTGCGTGGAGCCCCTGTGATGACAGGGAGGCCGATGTCCAGAGCTTCGCACGGAATAGTCACGTTTCAGTCCCTTCTCTCTTCCGTCAGCTGGCCCAGCTTCTATTCGGAGTCTCCTATTTTCCATTAATTGGAAATGTAACCAGGAAGTGCCCTCCTGTTCCCTGCGTATGTCTCACCGGCCTGTCCCCAAGCCAGTCCGGCCCAGGCTCAGTGACCTCCCCTCCGCGAGTCCTGTGCACAGCTGTCCCCCCCTCACAGTCTCCCTCATCCTCTAACTCCTCCCCAAGGTCACTCTCTGACCTCCCTCCCCTGAGTCCTGTGCAAAGTGGTCCCCTCCTCAGTCTCCCACGTCCTCTCACTCCTCTTCAAGGTCACACACTGTCCTCTCTCTAGGGTTTTACCTGCAGACCCCAGCAGACATTCATTCGTACATACTCGGGTTATTTCTTGATAAACCACTAAGCCTGGCTGCAGGAAGCACAGCCAACATGCGGGGCTGAGAGCTGGTGTCAGACGATGGGAACCGAGGAGGGGCCAGGCTGGGCACGTCACTTAGAGGAGGGGTCAGTCTGAGCCCCTCCGGCCGGCGTCACAGGCGTGAGAGCAGGTGTGAGCACAGGGGGAGTGCCTGTCCTGAAACAAAGGGCGTGAGCTCCTGCACGTGTGTGTGTGTGTGTGTGTGTGTGTGTGTGTGTTTGTGTGCGTGTGTGTGTGTGCGCTCAGAGGGCGGCCTTCGTGCCGTTGAGTGGGGGCTGAGCAGGCTCCCCGCGGTGACAACGGGAGAGTGCAGAGGGAGCAGGGAAGGTCTGCTTCTTGCTCAGCCCGCGCTCGCTGCCGTCTGGTTGGGTGCCTGCTGCTGGGGGCCCCACTCGGGACCCGTCTCTGGACGCAGCAGGAGCAAGAGGTGTGCAGGCTGGACACTGGCACTGGAGAGCTTCCACTGGCAGTGACACACGCCCTCCGCTGACCGGCACTGGAGGGGGAGCCGCCAGCCAGTGCCAGGAGCAGGGGTGGTACCAGGAGCCGCCAGCCTGGGGCCAGGAGCCGCCAGCCTGGGACCAGGGGCTGCCAGCCAGGACCAGGAGCAGGGCAGCGGGGATGGGGGCGGCGGGGATGAGGGCAGCTGGAGATGAGGGCGGCGGGGATGCGGGCGGGCGGGTGGGCGGGCGCTCAGGGCGTTGGTGGCTGTTCCCACCCCGCAGGCGATGTGCCAGCCCGCGCTCCGGAGGGCGGCCCAGGAGTGCCCGGTGCGCACGTCCCTGGACCTGGAGCTGGACCTGCAGGCCTCGCTCACGCGCCAGAGCCGCCTCAACGACGAGCTGCAGGCGCTGCGGGACCTGCGGCAGCGGCTGGAGGAGCTGAAGGCCCAGGGCCAGACGGACCTGCCGCCGGGCGTGCTGGAGGACGACCGCTTCCAGCGGCTGCTGCGCGAGGCGGAGAAGCAGGTGCAGCCCGGGCGCGAGTGCAGCGGGGCGCGTGTGCAGGGGGGGTGTGCGGGGGGGGGGGGCGCGTGTGCAGCCCGGGGCGCGTGTGCAGGGGGGGTGTGCGGGGGGGGGGGGGGGCGCGTGTGCAGCCCGGGGCGCGTGTGCAGGGGGGGTGTGCAGGGGTGCGCGTGTGCAGCCCGGGCGCGTGTGCGGGGTGGGGGGGGTGTGTGCAGCCCGGTGCGTGTGCAGGGGGGCGCGTGTGCAGGGGGGCGCGTGTGCAGGGGGGGTGTGCGGGGGGGGGCGCGTGTGCAGCCCGGGGCGCGTGTGCAGCCCGGGCGCGTGTGCGGGGGGGGGGGGGGGTGTGTGCAGCCCGGGTGCGTGTGCAGGGGGGCGCGTGTGCAGGGGGGCGCGTGTGCAGCCCGGGGCGCGTGTGCAGCCTGGGGCGCATGTGCAGGGGGGTGGTGCGGAGCCATCCCTCCAAGGCCGCCGTGGGGAGGTGCCAGCTCCCTCCTCAGCTTGCTCGGCTCCTCAGATCCCTTTGCAACATCTCGGAGCATCTTTCTGCCGTGGCCTTCTTAACCCAGGAGGTGGCTGAGAGAGAGGGGTCCCGCCACCCGGTGCAGTCAGGGCCCTGCCCACCGCTCCACACCCCGTCCTCCTGACCCAGGGGGCGTGGCAGCGAGGGCAGCAGTCGTCACTTCTTTTTTTAAAAAATATATTTTATTGATTTTTTTACATAGAGGAAGGGAGAGGGACAGAGAGTTAGAAACATCAATGAGAGAGAAACATCGATCAGCTGCCTCCTGCACACCCCGCTACTGGGGATGTGCCCGCAACATGCCCTCGACCGGAATCGAACGTGGGACACTTCAGTCCATAGGCTGATGCTCTATCCACTGAGCCAAACCAGTTAGGGCCATCACTTCTGCTCAGCGCCTTCCTTCGTCTCTACATGAGACTTGACAAATAAACACAGTGAAACTTTTAACACACGAGGTCACTTGCCACATCACTGAGGATGTACCACTAATGTTAACGCTCCTGAGTTTTCGCATTCTGTGACCTTCAAAGAAGGTCATGCTGCACACATTCTCCCTCAACACATTCACCCTCCACACAACTGTATACAACAGCACAGAAAATCACCGATTTAAAAATAGGGTATTTTAAAGGAATATTTCTATTAGTCTCACTCCTAAGTGAGAAGTTCAAGAGCCTTCATATTGGTGATATTGGTTTATTCTCTCAAGATTTAAGAGTTTATATTTTAGTATAAGAGCATATGTTTATATCTATAACAATGAAAGTGTAAAATGCTGATTAGATTGGAAGTCCTTCCAGACGAAGCCGCAGCACAAATTTCATACATTGAGCCTCTAGTCAATATATAACATACAAATAGAATTTCCACGTAGCTGAAATACTACAAATGCCAGAACGTTTTCTTTCAACTCTTTTGGATGGAAATCTGAAATAGATTCGTTGCCTCCTTACATGTAATAGAAGCTTCTGTCCATAATTTCTTAATCATACAGATGGAACTCAGAAACTTAACGTATGGATTTCAGAGATCAAACTGATACCGATGACTTTTTAAAGAAAGTTTAAGCAACCAAACCCATTACACATCTGAGAGAAAGGGCCCTCATACGCAATAGGATCTCAGGGAATGCCTGTTCAGCGAGGAGTTGAAAGGCAGGTCTCCTATTTGATGCCATAGGCGGGTAACAGGGTAATCAGACACTGCCGTGCCCTTAGAGGGCTTGTGGTTTGCTACAGGAGAGGAGCCAGGAAGGCTTCCTGGAGGAAGTGGCACTTCCCTGGTCTGGAGAGTGGGTGGTGGAATTTGGTCCCAGGCGAGGGTGCAGAGGCCGGCAGGCGGGACCCAGCACAGCAGCACAGGCCCCAGAGTGCTCCTAGCAGGGAAGAGCCAGATAGGACCCCGCAGGACAGCAAAGCCTTTCAGCAAAACGGGATGTGGAGTTGAAGGCTGAAATGACCTCGTCCTGTGTGCGTGTGTGACCTTAGGAACCATCATCCGCTTCACTCTCCTGAGTCTTCTAGCTCCGCGTTAGCACTAATTCCAAACCGCTGGTTGACATGACCCACATTAATATCCTGCAGAAGCTCTGCAGTCTCTAACCCTCATGGCCCAAAGGTTTGCACGGCCGGGTTCGAGTTTTCGACTGTAGACCTGAGCAGGACCTCACAGCTTTGCATTTCTGTGAACAACCTGCTTTGGTGTGCAAACTGTCCTGCTGTTCGAAGTTCGTGCTAGTGGCCTCCGGCGGGTCCCTGAGCGGGTGTAGGGCCTGGGAATTGGGGTGTTCCGTTTCCCCCTCCGGTGGGGTGGCCTGGGGGCGTCCAGACTGTAGAACGTTCTCTGAGCTGAACGCTTATGTCACCTTTTGGGAGGATGAATTCCACTTCCATTAACAGCTTTTAAACGGCTGAGGCAGAGAGAAGGGTTTGAAGACGAATAAGGGGTTGCAAGTATGCTTCCCAAAACGTGAGCCGTCGGCATTCCGTGGACACGGTGCTGTGGCAGCTTCTCACGTCCTCTCTGCGGGCTCAGGTTCTCCGGGCGCGTGGGCAGTCACCCCGCTGTGACAGGGTGTTTCTAACGCGCCGCCCCGAACAAGCCGAACCGTGAGGGAGAAAGCCGCTCCCCCCGCCGGCGGCTGCGGTGCCCGCTGGCTTCAGTTCGCACCGAGAAGCCTGCGCGGTCTCCGGGCATCTCTGATGGGGTTTGTGTTTATTTCCTGCCCAGGCCGAGCAGTCCAAGGAGGAGCAGAAGCAAGACCTGAACGCGGAGAAGCTGCTGAGGCAGGCCTCCAAGGACGTGTGCCGGCTGCGGGAGCAGAGCCGCAAGGTGCCGCGGCAGGTGCAGTCCTTCAGGTAACGCCCGGGCACGGGCGAGGGCACCGGGGAGGGCGCGTGACAGAGGCCCCCCTCCGAGTGCCCTGGGCCTCAGGCTCAGTGTGCGGGACGCCCCACCTCTCCTCCCGGTGGGACTGGGACGGATGCGTTTCCCTCCGCTCCCCCCTCGCCCAGAGGGGGACGAGGCCATGCCACACGCTCCACGGTGAGGAGCCGGGCTCCTCCGGACACACCCGTAACGGGGAACCGGCTCTCCGGCGTTCCGCTATGCTGAGAGAGGGTCTGTCTATCCACCCTCGGCGCTGTGGGCCCAGGAGGCAGCCCATCGGGGAAATCACACGACCTGCTGCTGCTGAACCCACAGCAGAGGCTTATAAGCTCTCCCTGCCCCTGCCCGGACAAGCCCCCTCCTGCCCCCACAGGGGCTGAAGATGCTGAGGGGCCGGCCTAGGCGGGCGGTGGGGGCGGGCGGGTGCTCCTCCCGCAGGCTGCTGACTGCACCCTGGCCGCCATGTCACTTGGAGCCAGGAGCCAGCAGTGCCCCTGATCCTGGGTCTGTCAGGAAGTGAGGGGTCGGGAGTCTGTGGTGAGGACGAGGGTGAGGGCGCGGTCTGAGGGTGAGGACGCGGGTGAGGACGCAGTCAGTGGGTGAGGACGCGGTCTGAGGGTGAGGACGCGGTCTGAGGGTGAGGACGCGGTCTGAGGGTGAGGACGGTCTGAGGGTGAGGACGGTCTGAGGGTGAGGGCGCAGTCTGAGGGTGAGGACACGGTCTGAGGGTGAGGACGGGGGTGAGGACGCGGTCTGTGGGTGAGGACGCGGGTGAGGGTGAGGGCGCAGGTGAGGGTGAGGACGCGGTCTGAGGGTGAGGACGGTCTGAGGGTGAGGACGGTCCGAGGGTGAGGACGGGGTCTGAGGGTGAGGACGCGGGTGAGGACGCGGTCTGAGGGTGAGGACGCGGTCTGAGGGTGAGGACGCGGGTGAGGACGCGGTCTGAGGGTGAGGACGCGGTCTGTGGGTGAGGACGCAGTCTGAGGGTGAGGACGCGGTCTGAGGGTGAGGACGCGGGTGAGGGTGAGGGCGCGGGTGAGGGTGAGGACGCGGTCTGAGGGTGAGGACGGTCTGAGGGTGAGGACGGGGTCTGAGGGTGAGGACGCGGGTGAGGACGCGGTCTGAGGGTGAGGACACGGTCTGAGGGTGAGGGTGCGGGTGAGGACGCGGTCTGAGGGTGAGGACGCAGTCTGAGGGTGAGGACGGTCTGAGGGTGAGGACGGTCTGTGGGTGAGGACGTGGGTGAGGATGGTCTGTGGGTGACGGGTGTGATCTGCGGTGATGGGCTGGAGCCAGAGCTGGTGTCCGTCGCCCCGCCGAGCCGGGCAGAGGCCCTGGGCTTGAAGCAGAGTCTTCCTGGGACGAGGGGGGGCCTCCGAGGCCGGGCGGTGTCTGCGGCCGCCCTGGGTGCAGCCGCACTGAGGGTGTTCCTCCGGCTCCAGGGAGAAGATCGCCTACTTCACCCGAGCCAGGATCAGCATCCCGGCGCTGCCGGCCGACGACGTGTGAGGCGGCCTGAGGAGCGCCCGGCCCTCGGGAGGAAGGACTGAGCGGTGTCTGGGGGTCTGTCCGGGAGGGGGTCACTGTCAGCGCCTACGGAGCTGTTACTTCTCCTCAGCATCTCGACGTGCTAATTTGTAAAGTTTGGGATATAATTCTTATATAACAAAGGCAAGGAGAGCCAGGTATCCAAAGCGGGCGGATCTGTACCCGGAGGCCCAGCAGGAGCGGGCTGTAGCCATGGAGTCGGGCAGGGCCCAGGGCTGTCCTGTCGAACCCGCAGAGCGGCGCGGCTCTTGCTTTTCCTGGTTTCCCCGCGAAGGCGGGGGGCCGGCCCGAGCCCGCGGGTCTTGTACGCAGAGCGGCGAGTCCGCCATGAGCGAGCTTTGGCGGGAGCTCGGGGCCAGGAAGCAGGTGCTGTGCTCCTCTCCGTCACCTTTGTGCGAACACCGGTCTCCGTAAAGCAAAGCAGCGTCTTCTCTGTCTCTTTCTGTTCGTTTGTCTAAAGAAAACAAAACGCTGAGTTCAAGCACATCCGTGCGGACCGGGAGCGGGCTCCTGGCTGCAGGAGGAGCCTGAGGGCAGGGAGGAGGGTGCCCTGCAGCCCCGGAAACAGGCTCCCCTGCCCCCCCCCCCCCGGGCGGCGGGGGCGGCAGGTGTGAGCCTGGCTCTCCGAGGTGTGAGGACGGTGGCCCTCGTCCTGAGGACACACACTGCCGCCGGGGAGGGAATCCATGGCATCCGCGTGGTGAAACCAGGAAGAGCAAAGGGTATCCTGATTGCATAAAGGTGCCAAAAAAAAAAAAAAAAATTTAAGTCCTTAATGAAACAGATTTGTGACATTTCACAGCCGCTCCTCGCAGCCCTCGTTGAGGGGTTCCTGTCTGTGTGGGGAGGAGCCGGGAGGCAGAGACTGTGCCTGGAGCATCGGCTGAGCTGTTTGTCTCCAACAGAAGCCATTGCAGGTGGCCCCTGAGAGCTGCCTCAGCGTCCCCACGGCGCCTCCCCGGGCGGAATCCCAGCTGACCCAGCCCAGGCCCTCCCCAACAGCAACCCCCCTGTGTCCCACCAGCGTGAAGGCGTTTAAATACTCCTATGCAATTTAATACTCCGTTTGTAATACTGGAAGAGGCAGTTTTTGGCCAGCCATCTTTTATAGCAAACTAAATCCTTTTTTAAAAAAAGATGCAAAGATCATCTTAAAGGAATAGGTCCCTTTACACACACACACACACACACACACACACACGTTGTTTTTAAGCAAGAATCCTCAATAGCAAGAATTTTTATTTTCTTGAGGGCAATTACACATATTTTAGAAAGTGAGTTTTGTCAGGATCAAAATTCAAATGAAGCCGTTTCTGAGCCTTGAACTTGATCGTTTCCTGAGTGTTCCACCACTTACATACAAACGTCTTTGAAGCTGTAACTGGACGTGACACTACTCTGAGCAAACACCAGCCTTACCAACTGACCACAGGCAGTCCTTCGGGGTCTGCCCAGTTCACTCTCTCAGCCGATGGAGGAAAACGAGGAAAGAATACCATTCATCCTTGTCAAGGTCAAATGTGAAAGAGAAGTTTATTTAATGTAGAGATAAATGAAGGTCAGCTGTTGTCAGCTTCTTCGTTTGACCGTGGAAATGTTTATAGAATTATGTGTAGTGTTACCGTACGATTTTATTTTCTTCATTTATTTATTTACGGTCTTATTTATGTTCTGTTTAATATATAGTTCGGTTCTGGCCATTTTAAATGTTTGACATAGAAGAAGCTATATTGGAATATTTACAGCTTTATAAATCATCAAGACGAGTATAAAAGAATAAAATCTGTCTCAGGCTGGTAGTTAACAGCTGTGACCAAGAAGCTTTCAGTTTTATTTTACAAAATTTGCTCATTTCTAACATGAGAGATGAACTTATTTTAATATAATCCTTTTCCACACTTTAAAAATCGGCAATAGTGTTATGCATTTATAGGAAGCTTTTAACAGCCCTATCATATTTGTACTAACCCAAATGATTCACAGTGACACATTTTAATAACTTGATCACAAAACCGTATGGACAATATGAATTTTAATATTATAAATGCTATTTTTTAAAAGTAGAATTTATTCTGCACAGGGTAAAAAGAATGTAATATTTAGTTCTCAAGTTTGAATTATCAACATGTTACTACAATTTTGTATATCAGAATCTAAGTGTTACAGGTACAACAAGCATACTGCTAGCCAAATGAACAACGTTTAGCTGAATCTCTGTTGCATGCAAATCAAATAAATTTAAATTTTTTTTTTTTTTGCTATTACTTTATATTGTATTAAATATCAAAAGCTCAGGACTGAACTAAATATTTAATCAGGTTAAATTCTGAATATGTTTCTGTTTTAATTTGTCTTACTTGTAAACGTGTGCAAATACATCACATAGACTAACTGGTTTCTGTACTTTTCATGTGTTTGTGGGTGGGAAATATTCAGTGGGTTTTTTGGGGGTTGGTTTTTTTTGTTTGTTTTTTTTTTTTTTTGCTTTTGTTTTTTTCAACAAAGATACATATTCCCTAAGACTTCATTTGTGTCGTTTGTTGTTCCGGTAATTTCCCTGATTGGCTCAAACACAAGAATTGACTTGGCCTGTGTACAGAACAAATACAGAATCTTTCATGAAGAATCTCCCACGCCAGCAGTTTGTTGTGAATACCTCTTGGTTGGACGATATGCATTGCTGATTTTTAAAAAAAAGGGGGGGAGGGAGACGGCGGGGGGGGGGGGGGGGAGAGTATTTTCATTGTGCCAGTACAACAAGGACTCCACATGAGCTCTGCCCACACACCCAGACCGGGCTGGCCTGCAGCGCCCCCTGCAGGGGGTGGGTGAGCATCCACCATCTGCTGTAGGGCCCAGGTGCAAAAGCGGGCTTGTGGGTGGGTTTTAGTGACCCTTCCGATACACAAGGCTGCCCCCCTCGGTCCCTGGCCTGGGGCGGAGGCATCAGTGAGTGGCCAGGAGCCCTGAGGTCTCTGGGCAAAGACATGATGTGTCCACGTCTCTCCCCTCTCCAGCTTTCAGAGAACAGCATAATAAGCAGATGTCACACATTGCAACTAAACATGCCGGGAGCCTGTTTCTGTACAGAGGTCATCTTAAACACTTGAGAGAAGAGATTGTTAGCAGTCACATTTCCCACGGCCAGAATGCCCCGTCTCTCTGAGTAGTAACACCTTCAGGGGCGTAAGTCCCGGTGGAATGTTTTATTTACCAGTTCTGTGCAATCACTGGATCCGTTTGAAAACCGAGGAGACGCCTCCACAGAAACGAGCAGGATTACCATTGAGTCTTGATTGGCTTTGGCCTCAGAGTGGCTTAGCGTCTTAGAAACCACAGTTGGAGGAGCCAGTCCCCATGGCGGGGGGTACATGTTAGAAAGTTGCCAGCCTGGTGCCTGGGTGACCAGGCAGCAGGGAATCCTACCCGGTCTGGGCTGAGCCGGCGTCCTCTGAGGCGTGGGCGCCGGGTCCTCGGGCTCAGACTGCCAGGCGGGTGTTTTTCATCTCCAGCGGGGGACGGAGATGCTGTGTCTCTGCCGCCGGGTCCTGGCCCGCAGCCCGGGGGGCCCGGGGCCAGCAGGCCGCCCCGGTGACCAGGCAGCCCCCGAGGAGCAGGGAGAACCCGGCGAACCAGCCCAGGAAGAGGGCCTCCCCGAAGTCCCAGCGGGGCACCACCTCGGGGACCGTGTCGTCCCAGAACTCCTGCACCGTCACGTGGGCCACCCAGGACACGGGCACCAGGGCCGCGGCCCCCGCCGCCCCCGACAGCGCCCCCCCCAGCACCAGCAGCCGCCGCTTGCGCCCTCGCCGCCCCTCTCCGACCCGCGAGCAGTCCAGCCCGCAGCCCGAGGCCAGCAGGCCCAGCAGCCCCAGCCCGTGGGACAGGAACATGAGCGCCCGGGACACCCGCAGCTCCACGGGCAGGGCCAGGAAGGAGTCGAAGTCCTTGCACTGCATGCCCACCTCTTCCTGGACGACGCAGGCTTGCCACAGGCCCAGGGTCCAGCTCTCCATCTCGTTCAGCTCCAGGTTCAGGCTCTTCCACTGGGGCAGGTAGTTGGTGAGACAGGCCAACACCCACCCCAGCAACGAGGAGGACACTCCGGCCACCTGGGCCGCCGTTCTGGGTGCGAAAGCCATCGTTGGGAGGTCCCGTGCTGTCAGCCCCGGGAGCTGCTGCCTCCCGGCTGCCGTGGAAAGTGCGGAGGGCTCTGGCGGTCGCCTGCAGAGCTCAGAAATCTTTTCTTCGCTGTGTGTACAAGAGGATTCTTGCCAGGGAGGCTATTGTTTGACTCCATGCTGAATGGGTTTCAGGAAAGGGAAGGGAACTAATTCTGCAAGCCAGCCAGCCATGTCAAGGAGGGGCCAAGATCAATTTTCTAGTAAGCAGTGCGTCCCTGAAATAACACGGAGCGCTGAGAACCCTCCTCTCATTGTTCGCGTCTCAATGGCTCGCCTCCGGTTCCCAGCCTCCCCGGCAGGTCGGAGAACAGAAGGAGCCTGAATGCGGAACGTGTAATTGACAGTTCGGGTTCAGCGCCCGCCGCTTTCTCTCCAGCTAATCGCACCTGCCGGGGCCTCCGCCGTGGCGGCGCTCACAATTCAGGACATGGGTTGTGGCTGCACCGAGTGTTATTGTTAAAAAAAAAAAAAAAAAAGATTCAAGAAAAGTATTTCTTACCCAAATCTCTCTCCCCAGAAATTTCTCTAGATCGTAAATCAGGCCTACTTTTTTTTTTTTTTTTTTAATAAATTTTATTGATTTTTTTACAGAGAGGAAGAGAGAGGGGTAGAGAGTTAGAAACATCAATGAGAGAGAGTCATCGATCAGCTGCCTCTTGCACACCCCGCTACTGGGGATGTGCCCGCATCCAAGGTACATGCCCTTGACAGGAATCGAACCCGGGACCTTTCAATCCGCAGGCCGACGCTCTATCCACTGAGCCACACCGGTGTCAGCAAGGCCTACGTTTTAAAGATTCCTCAGGCCACATACACCCCCTAACATCTGAAACGATACTAAGAACAAAGCCACTGCGTGGGAATTACTCTCGGGAGTGAGTTGAACCTGGGCTCGGCCACATTCCTCTCTGCCGGAGCACGCCAGGTGCGCGAACACGCGTGTCTTCTGGGCTGACGTGCTCACCACGCTGAGGCAGCGGGGAGCAAAGGGACTGTAGATTAGCACCAGCATCTCTTGTTGCAAAGCTGAAGTATAAAGCTTGTAATTTGTTTTGTTGTTAATCCTCACCTGGAGGTGTTTTTCCATTGATTTTCAGAGAGCGTGGGAGGAAGGAGGGGAGACGGAGAGAGAAACATCCGTGTGAGAGAGACACATCGATTGGTTGCCTCCCACAGGCTCTCTACCCCTGACCTCCTGACCGGGGGTGGGGGTCCAGCCTGCCACCGAGGTACGTGTGCTTGACCAGAATGGAACCCATGACCCTTCCGTCTGCTGGCCAACACTTACCTCCTGAGCCAAGCCCGCTGTCATTTTTGATTGAACAGAGGAAAGGTTTTCTCAGGACAAATAAACGGTCAATATCCCAATATCAAGCAAAAGTGTTTCACTGTCTATCTTGTTAATAGGAGGCTTTCCAGGAAAGAGACGGGAGAGGAAGTTGGCCAGGATGAGAGCACCCTGATGCAAACGCCTTTGAGCCTCATAAACCTTGTCACTCAGTTCGTAGACACAAACCACCTCTGATCACAGAACAAAGACACTGAGTGGAGATTACCCTCGGAATTAGTTTAACCTGTGGCTGTGCCAGTTGCAGACTCTCTGCTTTTCCCTTTTAGGAAACGAAGTAATTAACAACTTCCAGGGACCAACACAAACAAACAGAAGCAGTTTTAATGTAAAACAGACACACTAAAGCTTCATGCGACCGTATTGGACAACCCCTGCCACTCGTTTTATTTCCATCACCAGGTCAATGACAGTTTCTTTTTCTCAGACCTATGTCATGTTTAACGCAGCCATTTTAAGATATGAGACTGGCCTCTTCTCCAGGTTTTCGGGGGGAGGCGATCTAGGGTAAAAAAGTAGTGAGTGAGACAATGGGAGCAGCACAGACGTAGTCACACGCACAGCCAGCCAGCCGCCTTTCCCGTGCGGACCTGGGCCGTGCTGGTGCGGAAAACGGCTCTCTCCCTGGTCGGGTCCAGGTCACGCTCTGGGAGCCGCAGTCCCGTTTTCCAGGCAGGGACACTGAGCCTGTGCTTCTGCCGCCGGGTCCTGGCCCGCAGCCCGGGGGGCCCGGGGCCAGCAGGCCGCCCCGGTGACCAGGCAGCCCCCGAGGAGCAGGGAGAACCCGGCGAACCAGCCCAGGAAGAGGGCCTCCCCGAAGTCCCAGCGGGGCACCACCTCGGGGACCGTGTCGTCCCAGAACTCCTGCACCGTCACGTGGGCCACCCAGGACACGGGCACCAGGGCCGCGGCCCCCGCCGCCCCCGACAGCGCCCCCCCCAGCACCAGCAGCCGCCGCTTGCGCCCTCGCCGCCCCTCTCCGACCCGCGAGCAGTCCAGCCCGCAGCCCGAGGCCAGCAGGCCCAGCAGCCCCAGCCCGTGGGACAGGAACATGAGCGCCCGGGACACCCGCAGCTCCACGGGCAGGGCCAGGAAGGAGTCGAAGTCCTTGCACTGCCTCCCCACCTCGTCCCGGACGACGCAGGCTTGCCACAGGCCCAGGGTCCAGCTCTCCATCTCGTTCAGCTCCAGGTTCAGGCTCTTCCAGTGCGGCAGGTAGGCGGTGATCACGGAGAAGACCCATCCCAGCGCCGACAGCAGGAGTCCAGCGAGCTGCGTGACCCCCCTCGCAGCCAGAGCCATCGCCGCCGACCCCGCGCCTCCCGTGGGAACCGCTGGCTGGCGGTGTTGGCGGGCGGCGTGTGCCGGGGCCGGGGCCGGGCCGCCCGGGATATAAGCTCGGGCCTCGCCGCCAGGGTCACGGCTCCCTGGCCACGCTGAAGCGCGTGTTTGTTCTGGAATATAGGGTTTCACGTATGGGGCGAGGGGCTCTGGGCCTTCCGATAAGGAGCTGACCCGCGGCCGCCTTCCGATGTGCGGGTGAAACGATACCCCCGACACTGCGATACGCAGGCTGCGGACGAACAAAGGGGCCTCTGTGACCCTCACCCTAAAGGACAACGGAAATCTTTGTGCCTCGATATGGATTCCGTAGATTTAAGGGGCGATAAGGGGCCAGCGCTCCGGGTAACAGGACCTCATTGTGGCGGCTGAGTCTGAGGTTCAGGATGGGAAGGCGGGCTTCCCTCTGACCTCCGCTCTGCGCGGGCCTCCTCAGCCTCCGCCGGCCGGGGACTCGGTCAGGACTTGGCAGGCGGTGCCCCCGGATTTCTTCGAATCCCGGGTCCCCTGGGTTAATGAGAACAGCAGGCTGGAGGCTGGTGCCCAGAGGTGCCCGGCGAGGAAGGGAGCGTCCGGGAGGCCTGGGTGTCCCTGGGCAATGCCTGGTCCTCATTAGGGATGTTAACAAAAACAAACAAACATTGAAACCCGTAAAGAATTTTAGTGAGTTTATTTGAGCCAAACACATGCCGGGAAGCAGAACCTCAACGGATTGAGATCAGGCTCCGGAGAATGGCGGGTTACATTTGTATTTATACATTGCAATCAAAGGAGGAACATGGGTAGGTGACATGAAATTCATTGGTGATGGAGTAAGGAGGCGGGAGAAAGCAAAGCGGTGGGAAACCCCTGGGATTGGATAAAAAGTAAAATGATGAACGTGAGTGCAGGAACAATTAACATGATAACAAAGGAATTTGAGGCATCTGTGGCACCGACCACATTTGGTTGTGCCCCAGGGGCTCCAGAAAAAGGGAAGTTACATGTTACCCAAACATCTCATAGATTTGTTATCTTAGAGGCAAAATGGCAAATGGGCTCAGTAAAGAAGATCTAAGTTGATCTTTGTCAGGGAAAATATCGGCCTAGGACATGACTACCCACTATAACCTGTTTGTAGTTAGATATTTATTTTCAAACCATCTTCTGTGGTTATCTTAGGTCTCTGAGTTTGTAAGACTGCCACACAGGCCTCCTCTGAGTTTGTCAGGTTAGCGTGTGGCTCTTTTCCTTCACAGGGACTTGGGGACAGCCTGGTTTTTACCCTCCCACAGATGTTTCCTGCCCAGAGCTGAGCCGTCTGTGCGGCCCCTTGGGAGACGAAGCCGTTCAGGGCACGAGACTCTGAAAACAAGGGCCACCTGGCTGCCCTGTGAGGTTCCGCCTTGTCTGGTTTTTTATTGGTTTTTGATGGAGACCACGCCTTGGGCGCACACTGCAGATCTGGCACACTGCAGATCCGGCAGGACCGAGGCAGGCCAGGTCCCAGGGCGGCTGCAGGGCCTGCAGGGTGTCGCTCCTCTCCAGGGCGGGGGCGTCTGGCACCCCCAGCCAGGAGGTGGGGGTCGATGGGCCTGGGAGACCTGCAGAGCCCCTGCCTGGACCCACCCTTGGGGCCAGATTCACCGCAGCTCTGTGTGAAGTTCCTCAGGCGATCAGACAGACCGCTGTCCTGCGTCTCCAAACTCAGCAGAAGGTCTTGTCCTGCCGTGTGGTATGGTCACTATCAATACCGTGAGCTCAGTGATGAACTAGCCACGCTGCCCTCAGCCTCCATGGCCCCACGCCCTGTCTCCTGTGTAGTCACCAAACAGGATCCATAGTAAAGGGCTGAGGAGGGCCCGCAGGTGGTGGTGAGTGTGAATCCCACACGGAAGTGGGTTCCCGTGGCCTCGGGTGGCCATCCTAGTGAGTGTGAGTCCGGCCAAGGGACCTCAAAGAATGAACGCACTCAACCCCCGAAAACATCTCCAGGTGGCAAACACGCGCGTCCTGTCCCAGCAGGTGGACGGGTGGCAGGCCCGGGGAGGGGGGCCGCTGGCACATGTCTGGGTTATGGGCTCAATCTCTGTAGGGAGTGTGCAGGAGGCAGCCGATCAATGATATTCTCGGGGTGCCAGATGACACCCCCTCCCTCCCATTTTCACTAGGGTGTCTAAACGTCCTACAAAGCATGAGGGATCCTCATAAGAAGAAACAGAAAATGTCGTGAAAGAAGAAAAGGTAGCTTGCTTCAGTCCGTTCTCCCCAGAACGTCCGAACGAGACGG